AATAGCACTAAGTGAAACACTGTTAAGGGGGGGTTGCCTGTATTCAAAAGGCAAGGGCTTTTGTGGAGAACTCTTCTAGAATTACCCTTCTGACTGATTCAGTAAGTAAACTATTAGCAGAATTCAAATATTATAAATACGTTTTATTTTACATCCAAGTTTCCAGGTATGACAATCAACAACGAATTTAGGAATGCGTTTAATTAAACTGATATAGTAAATCCCCCCCCCCACGTGATAAATGATATTAATGTTCTTTCAACTCATTTTATGACAATTTTAAGACAGTCTGGGAAATGCATGTATTATGCTATAATGCAGTAAGTAAAATATACCATTTACTGATTGTCAGACCAAATAAAAAGAAATTAAAATATATATAATAGCAGCAAATCAGAAGCAGGAAGAGACAGCCTGGGGACAGCTAAATTAAACCAAATACAAAAATGTAAGTGTATTCCTTATAATAGTTTCACTAAGGCAGATATTTGTGATGACTATGCTTATTTTAAGTTTTTCATTTTTTTTCTTTGTTCTAACAAAAGCTACTCTTCCTGTAAATCATTTATTAAAACATGATGAAATCTAAAACGATAGAAGTTACACAGTGGAAGAGATTTATTTTTGTTTATTTTCCTCCCCCATTTTTTAAAATTCATCAGTCAATCAGAGATGGTTTTCCGCTCAGCAAACAACAGGGATACTAGTGCTCTAAGAATTCCTGTACATCTCAAATGCAAAGCCTAACTACTTAGATTAATCAGAAAAAAAGCAATTGGATTAAAAAAAAAGACCCATCACACACACACAGGGCTATATTATAAGATAAAAAGTTGTACTACAATAAACTAAAACTATTATATTACAGAATTATAATCTGAACAGAAATAATTTTGGGCGCTTAAGTACATTATCTAATTTAAATGTGCTTATACTAGGGGGTCTGTTTTTATATAACAAAATCAATTTAAAATAAATCTGGGTAACTGGAAAACAGTAACTAGCAGATTACAGAGTATATGGCATAATATTTTGTCAGCATCATTTTGAATGAAGCAACTCTGGAGACTTCCTGCACCTCCCTCTGGAGATTATTTAAACAATTTACAGATTTTATGAGAATTTTTCCCCCTGATAACTAGCATTTCAAAATATTTTCTTATTCCTAGTTCTATACTTCTCTGCAGCACCCTAAAAAAAATTTAGTCTTTTTCAGCAGCAGGGCAAGGCAGCAAAGGTTTGTCAACCCCTACACATTTATCCTAGCTAGGGATTAGAGATATTAAAGTTTAACTGAGAAGTGCAATGGTAACTGGTTAGCTTACCAGTCATTCTTTAGCTTGGGGAGGGAGGGCCCAGTATGGCAGGGAAGGGTGGAAGAAGAGCTGAGCCCCAGCAGAAGTCAGAAGGCAGCAGGGGGGAGGGAGACTAGTACCCATTAGGGGTGCACAGACAGACATTTTGGCGGCCGATACCGATATGCCTCCTTAAAAATTGGCTATCGACCGATACCGACCTGATTTCTGATACAGTTGAGTCTGTTGTGGTGAAAGGGGAGGGCGAGGGAAGGGGCGTGGGGGTGAACAACACCCTTTGCTGAGAGGGAGAGAGTGGGGCTGCGGTAGGCACAGGACAGCGCCTGCACACCGCTCATCTGGTGGCTTGTCCAGCAGGTCCTGCCGCTGCTTTAT